GCATTGACTTCTCCTCTCTAGCTATGGAAGTCCTAGATGCCATCTTCTTCCAACATACAGCTCTTTTGTCTACATTGAAAATGTGTTGTTTATTGCAGCCACCTTCATTAATGATCTCAGATCTCCTGGGTCACTTGCTGCAGCTTCTCTATCAGCACCTGCTGCTTCACCTTGCACTTTTAGGTTATGGAGACAGCTTCTTTCCCTAGACCTCATGAACCAACCTCTGCAGGCTTCCAGCTTTTCCTCTGCAGCTTCCTCCCTCTCTCAGCCCTCGTAGAATTGAAGAGAGTCTGGGCCTTACTCTGGACTAGGCTTTGGCTTAAGAGAACGTTGTGGTTGGTTTGATCTTCTCTTCAGACCACTCAGACTTCCTCCATATTGGCAGTAAGGCTGTTTCATTTTCTTATTGTCCATATGTTCGCTGGAGCAGCACTTCTAATTTCCTTCAAGAACTTCTTGGCATTCACAACTTGGCTGTTTGGTGCCGGAGGCCTAGCTTTTGGCCTGTGTCAACTTTTGACATACCTTCCTCACTAAGCTTAATCACTTCTAGGTTTTGATTTGAAGTAAGAGATATGTGGGGTGCCTGGGTGGCTCAGTCAGTTGAGCGTCCGACTTCGGCTCGGGTCATGATCTCACGGTTTGTGGGTTCGAGCCCCACGTCGGTCTCTGTGCTGATAGCTTGGAGCCTGGAGCCCGCTTCGGATTCTGTGTCTCCCTCTCTGCCCCTCCCCCGCTTGAGCTCTGTCTCTGTCTCTCAAAAATGAATAAATGTAAAAACAAAAAGTTTTTAAGTGAGAGATATGTGACTTTTCCTTTCACATAAACACTTAGAGGGCACCGTAGGGCTATTAATTGGCCTGATTTCAATATCATTGTGTCAGGGAGGCCTGAGGAGAGGGAGAGAGATGGAAGAGTGGCCAGTCTGTGGAATAGCCAGAGAATACACACAACATTTATTAAGTTCACTGTCTTATATGCATGCAGTTCATGGCACTCCAAAACAATTACAATAGTAACACCAAAGATCACTGATCATAGATCACCATAAAAATATAGTAATGAAAATTTTGCAATATGAGAATTATTAAAATATGACACAGAGATACAAAGTGAGCAAATGTTGGAAAATTGGCTCCAATATCCTTGGTCTACATAGAATTGCCATAGACCTTCAATTTGTAAAAAACAGTTATCTGCAAAGTATAATAAGGTAAAGCATGGTAAAATGAAGTATACCTGTAATAAGTTGTAGGAGATTCTTGGATTGTGTTACCTTCCTCTGAAGAGTGTTGAGTTTTATTTTAATAGGCAATCAAATTATGGAGAGCTCATCTTTTGGGGGGAATAGGAGTAGGGGTTACTTACCATGTTTAAATTTTGTTAAGACAGGTCTCTTTGGGTTTTTCCCTTAGTCCTCTGGCGTGACCCTTAGTCCTGAGATGATACCCTTTCTTCCAAAGCCAGCCTTTCTGGGTTTCCCATGGAAAGCCTGAAATGTTTCCCAAGTCCTTATAACTTATATAACTAGGCAGTTACCTCAGGGGAAAAATTGATGAAATATAGGATCTCACTTTGTTCTCTTTCCTTCCTTCAAAGATTGTAACCCCTCCCATTTTATGCCTACTTTTGATCACTCTTCAGTGCTTAAAAATTACTTGTATTTTTCCACAGTTTATAATAGTTATCTGTGGGATGGTTCATTTGATAAAAACTACTCAGCCATTATTGGAAATAAAACATAGGAATATATTTTTGGGCAGAGCTGATAGTTCAGTCATTCCCAGGGACAGTGTTTGTGCTTTGGCAAGAATCTGTACAGCTGTTGGAGGATCTGCTGTGGCTCAGTAGCCTGGCTTGGTGGGGACAGAGTGGTCACTTAAGGAACCAGATATTTCTCTGCTGTGGAAGAACCATGAGAGTGGGACTAAAGGTGGGAGAGAGCTGAAGAGGTAGGAAGTTGGCTTCTTCCAGCCTTCATTTCCTCAGTACCACTGATGTGGTCAGGCTTTTGTGAGGGGTGATTGGAGATAAAGTATGTGGCTGTCCAATAGTGGGTGTTTATGATTGTGGAGGCCATTGAGTTGAGCTTTGCCAAGGCTTGATCCAAATGGCACAATTCTTGTCATGTCATCTGGTGACTTTTCAGTCCTTCATGGAAGCAGAAGTGCCTTGTTCCCACATGAGGTAAATTGGAGTTGTCATTGTTACACCATAATCAAGAATATCACCATCACATCCATGCTGCCTACCTTTGAGGGATATGTTTCCCCATGGTTCTTTGCTCTATTGGTTAGGCTATTGTTAGTGTTAAAAGAAACCTAAGATAACAGTAGCTTAAGTAAAGTAGAAGTTCTTTTCTCTCTCACACAGTAGTCTGGGTGTAAGCAGTCTAGGGCTATTGAGGTGGCTACTCTGGGTCAGGGACTCAGGCTTCCTCCATCTTGTTGGTCTGTCATCACTACTCTGTCACCTTCATCTGGATGGGCCAATATGACTCAACACCACCCACCTTCGTTCCAAGCCACCAGAAGAGGAAGGAGGGCAGCTGTGGGCATGTCAGCCTACCCTCCCCCCCCCCCCACCGCCCCCAGGAAGGACCCATCCCGGAAGATGCATCCATCACCTTCATATCCCATTGACCAGAATTTAGCTCCCCACCTGCAAAGGAAGCTGGGAAATACCATCTTTATTTGGGGGTAGCCATGAATCCGTGTACACATCTAGAGTTCTACTACTAGAAAGGGAGACTGTAGGAGAGCCTGGGTGGCTCAATCAGTTAAGCATCTGACTTTGGCTCAGGTCATGAGCTCACAGTTCATGAGTTTGAGCCCTGCATTGGGCTCTGTGCTGATAGCTCAGGGCCTGGAGCCTGCTTTGGATTCTGTCTCTCTCTGTCTCTCTCTCTGTCTCTCTCTCTGTCTCTCTCTCTGTCTCTCTCTCTCTCTCTCTCGGTTCTTCCCCCTCTCGCTCTCAAAAATAAACATTAAAAAGAAAAAAATAAGGGAGACTGCATATGGGAGGATAGCCACCAATCCAAGGTCATGTACCTGGGTTTTAGCTCAAGGGTCACTTTACAGAAGGAACCTGGCACTCCCTGGAGAGCCAGTGGAGCACTGATGAAGTGAGAGATTTCCATGTGGTTGGCACATTTCTCCTTAAGGGTATCAGAAGACAAGGACTGTCACTCTAATGTAGATCATTTAGTGGATGTTGTGTGACTTAAGGAACATGGCTGGGTCCATAAGCTACTTGTCAATTCCAGACTTGTTCCCCAGTGACTACACCAGGTAGGAAAGGTGTGCCAAGCTGAGGTAGAAAGAACCCAAGTGATACCAGTGTTTTAGTGCTGACCCTTCCAGCTTCACCCATGACTAGTAAAGTCACACCAGACGTGCCCTGGTCTTTCATCTTCAAATTAAATTTGGGTTTGGATTGAATTGGGGTATGTCTAAGGTGTGTGGCTAGCACCCATGTTCTAGAATTGTAAGATTCCTCAACACTCCACAGCTTTGCATTAAAGCAACCTTCCATGGGGATGCAGCCACTTTAACTTCTCTGTAGAATTGAGTCGGAGGTCTGAATGTACGGGTACCTGGCATGCTTGCAGACCACCTGGGACCTGCAGACATGGGTTCTGTTTCCTTGGGCTTCCCTGGGTTGTGGTCTTTGTAATCAGAAGTCACTGCACAGCTTCCCATACAATTAAGCTTAATTTTTAATCTTTATTTTTGTTTCAAAATGCTCTATTTCTGCCTTTAGAACTATTACATGTTCATTGTAGAAAGTGTAGAAAATAAAGGAAAGTATAACAAAGGAAGCAAAAAAAAAATTACCCGCAATGTTGTTACTCATACTGGAATTATTAAGGCTTTACTGTAGTCCCTTAATTTTAGTATCTAAGAAAATATGAAAAATACTTATGTCTCTATTTCAGTTCATCAAATTGGGATCATACTATTCTATATACATGATGTTTACAACCTGCTTTTTTTCACTTGACCATTTCCTCAAATCCTTAAATATTTTCAAGAATCTGATTTTAAATGACTGCCAAGGATTCTAATCACATGGATGTACCACACTGTACTTAATCAGTGCCCTGGACATTCAGGCTGTGTCTGAGTCTTCATTATTGTTAACTACATAGCAGTGACAGCTCCATTTCACACGGACAACTTCTTAGCTCCTATCATAGATGCTATCATAGCTCCTATCGTAGATGCAGGTGAGCTCAGAGAGGTTGGATGGCCTGCCCAAGGCCACACAGCAAGTGAGTGATGGGTCCCTGCCATCTGGCCACAAGGCTGACTGCACCCTGCCCAACTGCCTCTCCCCAGTGCCAGGAAAGAGAGGGCATAGGTGTGGCATAGGTGTACTGGGGACGGTTGGCTCCTAATGTGTTGGTTTAGGTAGAAAAGAGTCAGCGTGGTTTCCCCAGGACATGCTGTTCGGGGTGGTTTGTGATGCCCCTGAGGAAAGCCAGCTGACCACACAGCAGCAAGTCGCCCTGCGCCCACTCCACTCCTGCCTGCTGGGGGCAGTGATGAACCCAAGCCTGGGTGCCTGAGTTCCAGGAGCCTCAAGGGGAGGCTGTGAGAGTGGGAGGCAGGTGAGGCCAAGCGGGCTTTGGCAGGGAGACCACTCAGCTCTTGCTCCTCGAGGCCCCCACCCAAGGAGGGCAGGAGATACGCCTGCCAGTGGCCTTGATCCTGGGGAAGCCTTCTCACCTGGCTCTGTCGTCCCCTGCGCAAACACTTTTGTCACTTCCTGAAGACCCGTCCTCATTCTTACTTGGCACCAACCCGCTTCCTCTGAGAGGGACCACTGGGCTCACTGTCGAGTGCGGGGGTGGGGGCAGAGACAGCAGAGCAGGACCCGCCTTAGGCTTGGCATGGGTATCCCCTCTTTTGCTGGCTGTCACCGCCTGGATCACTGGGCTTTTGCCCTTAACTGACACCTTTGAATTTTAACCTTTGTTTGCTTTTCTCTAACAGGCAACCATTGGGATTGACTTCTTGTCAAAAACTATGTACTTGGAGGATCGTACGGTGAGTGCCAGACTTTAGAACCAGAAGGCTAGGGAGGGCCTGCCTCGGAGCCCGTCACCGGGCACCACTGAGAGAGCCCACGCCTGCCCCAGAGTTGGCAGTGCCGGTGTCACAGAACCAGGGCCTCCCCCAGCCCCCACCCCACCGTGAAGACGGCACTGAACCCCTTGTCCACGGTCCCACCCCTTGTGACAGGTGCGGCTGCAGCTCTGGGACACGGCCGGCCAGGAGAGGTTCCGCAGCCTGATCCCCAGCTACATCCGAGACTCCACGGTGGCCGTGGTGGTGTATGACATCACAAGTGAGTGTGGGTCCTGGGGGCAGAGGGAGGGTGGCTCACCGGGGCTCCAGGGCCTGTGTGTGTGTGTGTGTGTGTGTGTGTGTGTGTGTGTGCGCGCGCATGAGCACACATGCATGTGTATGCCCACCTGTGTGCTTGTCTACTGACTGCAAGAAGACAGGTCCTTAGTGGTGGGGTGAGTTGCCTTCCAACACCAGCATGTGTCCACCTCCCCCGACTCTCCTGTGTACAGGACTGAGCTGGCCCTGCTCAGAGCAGGGGCCTCTATGTAGAACTGAGCAGAGATGCTCAGGAGGCTGGCCCTACTCCCACCTGCCCTCCTTGGCCCTGACGGCCAGAAAGACCCTTGTGGAGTGACTTCTGTGTGTGTGTGTGTGTGTGTGTGTGTGTGTGTGTGTGTGTGAGTGACAGGATGGGAGCAGACACTGGTCTTTGGGCCAGTCTGACCTGGCAGCCATGGTTTTACCAGCTGGCATCCCAGCTCCTCACTGGGTCTGCTGGAAGGAGAGGCCAAGTGGGGCTGGGAGAGCACTTCTCACAAGCGCAGCTCTCGTAGCCAGAACAGCTGTTCTTGAGAGCAACTGCACAGTCCCGAGGGAGGCCCGTCCCGGGGGGCCCAGGGCAGGTGCAGAGCTGCAGCTGCCCTGGAGGGTGCAGCAGAACACACCCGGTGAGCCCTTGTGCTGTGGTCGCGCCGGTGGCGGGAGGGCACCCTGGGCGCCAGCCACAGCACTGAGATCACGTGGGGAAACATGTGCGTCCCACTGCTTCCAGTCGAGTCCGTGGTCCCTGGCTCTGCCCGGCCCTTCTTTCCATCCCTCCCTGACTACAGGCTCCCCACCTACCCTGAATACGGGTGAGAGATGGGGCCTTCAGCCTGGGTTTGTGCAGCCTGACGGGAGCAGGGGAGAGAGCAGGCTGGGGTAAACCGAGGCTTCCCGAGATAGGCTGCCTCCCCTCAGCCCCTCAGATGTGTGCGCCGCCGAGGGGTGGACATCACCCTGCAACTACTCCCCACGTCTTCTGACTGAGGAAAGGGCTGCCCTGAAGCGGACTTATCTCTCATTGCTCTTGTCTCTCCTGGGGCCGCCTTCCCCCCTCCTGCTCACAGATCCTGAGGGTTCTCTTTGGAAATCTGGCCTTTCCCGAGCCAACCTGAGCTCCCCTCAGTGGGAAGCCACTCGGTAGGGCCTTCCTCCCCAGGGGCTCCTATGGTCCCCCTGCCAACACACACGCTTCCAAACTCAGCCAAGTCCAGTGTACCCATTTCTCATGCTCTTCTCTGAGCCCCCAAAGTCAGTTCCGATTCTCAGGTGGGCCCGTAAAACCACTAGTCTGTGTAGCACATTATGACAGTGACCTTCCAACAGGGTGTCTTCCAGGGAGTGGGTCAGCCACATGAGGGTCTCTGCAGGGCCCAGAGGCAGCAACTCCACAGACGCATGGGTCCCCAGCCTGGAAGGCCCAGACCCAGTGGTCTGGGTATGAGGATGCACAGTCCCCCTCCTTCCTGCTGCCCCTTCCCACCTTCCCCCTCGCCCCGCTCGGGCTGGCTCTCACTCTGTTGTGTCCCCACTCTGCCTCCAGATCTCAACTCCTTCCAGCAGACCTCGAAGTGGATTGACGACGTCAGGACAGAGAGGGGCAGCGATGTCATCATCATGCTGGTGGGCAACAAGACGGACCTGGCAGACAAGAGGTAGGTGTGAGGTGAAAGGTGCAGGGTGCTGGTGGGCCCGGCCCACCCTCCACTGCTCCGCAGCTCCTCCTGGATAAGGAGTTCTGGGATGGCGTGAGTGGCGAGTCTGTGCTTCTGATCTGTCCCCATGCACCTGGGGCACTGGAGGCTCCAAGAGCACCTGGTAGACCCTTGCCCCACAGTGTCTCAGCTCTGAAGCCCCACCTTCCACTGCCAGTAGAGACACTGCTCTGAGGGACGTCTGCATGGAGTGGTCTGGGGCCTGGCCGTGGCCACAACACAGCTGCAGACAGCAGTCCCTCAGGCCTCCGTGGGCTTCTGCTTGTGCTTTGTCTCTGCCCGTGAGATGCCTGCGCTGGTGTGAGGGTTCTGGTCCCCAGGTGTGAACATGCAGAATTTCCTGTCTGTTGCTGTGTCTGGTTGGGTGGGACACTTCCTCCAAAGAGGCTGCTCCGTGGCTGCCTCCAGTGCACAGACAGGGCTGACTTAGGTGCCACCTGTGTGCATTCGTCCACTTATCTCATGGGACCTGACTCAGTCAGATAAAGCAACGGGTCCTGGACTATGAGCTTCGTGAAGTGTGCACAGAATTATCTGACTCAGAGCCCGCGTTATTGGGGTCCTGTCCTTGACGTAAGGGGAATGAGGTTCAAAGCACAGGTCTGTTGTTAAGTAAGCCCTACGTATGAGGTTGAGGCAGTCACTTCTAACCTCACTGTCCTCCTGTGGAACGGGGACTGTTGACACTACCCCAGAGGCGATATGTGGCTCAGAGTGCTTTCTAGATGTGGCTGCACGGGATGGTGGACCCTTGGGGGGCGGGCAGGTATGGGAAGGCCCGCTGCCCGCTGCAGGGCCTGCTGCTGAGAGGGAAGGCACTGTGGAAGGAGAAGGGGAGAGCTGGTGTCCAGCCATGCCCTGTGCCCTGTGCCCTGTGCCCTTCGTGCTGGACGGGGGCCCTGGATCGGAGCCCTGTCCCCAGGGCTGACTAGTGGGCCAGGCCCTCCTCATCTCAGGCTGCTCCCTCTGCCTCTACCGGGGGCTCATTTTCCCCCCTCCCCTCACTCGCAGGCAGATAACCATCGAGGAGGGGGAGCAGCGCGCCAAAGAACTGAGCGTCATGTTCATCGAGACCAGCGCCAAGACTGGCTACAATGTGAAGCAGGTAGGATGCGCCTGGCGCTGAGTCCAGCCAGCCGGGCCACAGGGCCACATCACTCGTGGGCCTGAGGGGCTGGTGACCAGGCTGGGGCAGGCAGCCTGGGCACTATAAACCCCACCTAATGGGAAACAAGCTGACAACCTTCAGAGCTGGGAAGGCACACAAGAGGGAAAGAGTGCTCGCTCTCGGGGGGAGGGTGTCTGCAGTACGTGATCATTAGCCACTATTCAGGCAGCCAGTTGCGGGGCCCCTGTAACATGCTGTGTGTCCAGCCACCAACTTCCAGGTGAGAGGAGCAGCATTTCCCTGGCATCTTGCCTCATTTGGGAAGGGGGTACAGGAAATTCAGTTCAACCAGTATTTTGGGGTTCATGGCCTCGTGCTTGGCAAGTGCTCGGGGCTGTGCAGGGCCGGGTGGGCTTGGAGAAAGGAGTCCGCCCATGGTGCGGTTGGAGCTTGCAGGAAGCGAGGCTTGGGAAATTGAGCCCATCAGAGAAGCCATAGTGGGGGTTACTCGCCTCGCAGCAGGGGGCTCCCTAGGTCCCCAGACCCCCAAGGAGTCCACCGGTGGGAATCAGCAGGTCAGCGGACTTGGGTGGGAAAAAGCTACCCCTCTGTCTTCACCGACCTCTGACTGCTCTTCAGCCCTTCCTTCAGCAATGAATGCAGGCAACAGGACTCCGTGATGGGGGCAGTGCCTGTGACTTCATCACAGTAGACATCCCAGCCCTGTTCTTGTCACCTTGTGGTGTGACGGGTCCCTCGGCCTTTCCCCACATTGCCACTGCAGTTCAAGGGGTTACTACGGGACCTGCTGCCAGCTCTTGCTGTTTAACATGCTCGTGGGGAAGCAGATTCGCTGCTGTGTAACAAACTTGTCTTTAGAGATTTTATAAGTGTATTTCAGTTCATTTTTAAACTCCTGTAGAACTGATGTCACACACTTACAAGGAGCCCATAGGCTTCAGCAGACTGCCAGAGGGGTCTTTGGTTCAGGAAAGGTTAGGAGCCCCTGCCTTCAAGGAAGAGAGGGCTTGAAGAGGTGAGGAAGGAGAGTGTTGCAGACAAGGGTAACCCGTGAGCGCGGGTGCCAACAGGAGGGGTGCTGCGGCATAGGGAGTGGGCTCAGTGAAGAGCATGGCTCCGCAAGGGTGTCACTTCCACCCTGCCCCCCGACCCCAGCAGTGCCTGGGAGCGCTACATCAGGCTGTCCATGCAGCAGCCGGTCTGGATGCAGTGACGGTTCACCCGACATGGATGGTGCCCGGAGTGTCCTCGTCATGGCTCTGTTCACGCCCATGCCCTTCCCACCACTGCTGTGGCATCTCCTGGAGCAGGGGCTGCCTGTCCCTGGAGCATGTAGGAGGCACTGAACTGCTGCTGTGTGTGGCCCTGATGGGAAGTCATGGGCGGCGGGGAAACCACAGACAGCAGTCCATAAGGCGGGTAGCTTCTGCCCCAGGGGTCAGGCGCAGGGAGATGCTGATGCCTCTGTTATCTTACCATGCTCTGGAACCCAGATGATGGTTTAAGCAGGAGTTAAATGTGGTCTGTCCAAACCCCATTTGGTTCAGGAGTCTTCATGCAGTGCAGACTCCTGGACTCTAAGCCTGATTATTTCTGCTCTCAGAGACCCCACACGGCACCCCAGGAGGTTCCTTCTAGCTGCCAGTTTGGCTGGTGGCAGAGGCTGTGACCATTTTGACAGGCAGAGCAGGGCTGCCTGGGGAAGACCATGAAGGAAAGCTCCAGAGGAGCGACCGGGCCCTTAGCACCCTTGCTCACTTCTTCCTGCCCGACTTGGGGCCTCCTCTGCGGCCTGCCCAGAGGGTCCCATACGCCGCCAGGCCCACCAGTGACTTCCCTACTCGGGTCCTCACCACTGTTGGCCCTGCCACCAACCTGGGTGCTCTCATAGAGCTGGGCTCTAGGGTGAGACCATGAACAAGACCTACCTTATCTCACTTGAGTCTCCGGAGTCGGTGTATGTGGTGGAGGAGAAGGGGGTGTTATCTTCCGGTGCCTTAAACTTCTGCTTTGTGCTTGTCACCTCCTAGGTTCCATGCCTGCCGCACCTGACATCCCCACGCACCCATCCCCATGTGCACACATGCATGCACACGGGCGTACACACCACACACACACAATTCTCCCTGTGCACTTACGCAGACTTACACAGAAGCCCCACATGTGCACACGCCCTACAGACATTCCCTCACACACTTACACAAATTCACAGATACCGCACATCCACATACTCCACACATATGCCTCCACATACAGCATACACATCACACTAACACCCACACCCAAACCCACAATGTCACAGTCTCACTCCTGTGTGCTCTTCTCTCAGAATTCTCTTTCCGATGTGACTGTGTGGCCCTGGCTCCCAGTACCCTTCTGCCTTGATGCCTGTGGACTCCTAGAACCCCCTGAGGAGAGGGTCATTTGTCTTGAGGGCAGGTTAAAAGTTGGTGCCCCACATGGCCAGTGGGACAGGAGCCCACCTAAGGGCCTAGATTATTTTCTGCACTGGGGCAGATCCCTCACAGTCACCATGACTGATACACAGCTCCTGGTGACCCATGGCCAGCCTGCCTGGGTGACAGGCCTGCCAGGGCCCAGACCTGTGACAGGTGCTATGGGCAAGGGAGAGAGGTTAGGTGCAGCCCCTGCCCTCCAGGGCACAGTTAGCAGGACAGACAGGAAAGCAAGGCCCGGGGTCAGGACAAGAAGAGGCAAGAGGGTAGAGACGTAGCTGTGGGGACAGGAGGGATGGGTTTCATGCTGCATCTCCCCCTCCAGCTCTTCCGACGTGTGGCGTCAGCTCTGCCTGGAATGGAGAATGTCCAGGAGAAAAGCAAAGAAGGGAGTATCCTTTTCCTTTGATAAGTGGTAAGTGAGTGAAAGATGCCGGAGAAGCCATTTATCCATTGATGTATTCACTTAGTATTTTAGAGCAGTGGGAGAGCCTCGCCTCGTCTCCAGCCCATCCTTCTCTGCTGGTGAGTATGATGTGGGGCCTCCTCTGTGCCAGGACAGGGCTGAACTCCAAGGGCTGGAACACCTCATCCAGCTCTAACAGCCTAAGCTTCTACTTGTAAAGCAGTGGGGGATTGGGTAACACAGGGATGTGAGTGACAGTGTAGGGCGGGGAGTGAAAAATAGTAACTCTGCCCATGTTTACAGTGAACATCACTTTGTATTTCATGGATACAAGTAGAGTGTCTGCTGCGCAGGAAGGCCGTGTACATCCAGAACATGGTTCAACCTGCTCTACCTGACACACTTCCTACCACGTCCTGCCTGCTTCCTCGGCCCAGCCCTGCACAGCCCCATAGTGTCCACTGCTCTGTGGGACAAGGTCCGCGTGCCACTTGCACGGTCTACCCCAAACCTCAGGTGACACTCAGAAGCTGAAATTGAGATGCAGAGAGGTAGTCTTGATTTTTCCCAGTGGGAAGGAAGGCAGTTATTTATACATACTCTGCCATGTTACAAAAAAAAGAAAGTGTTCATGCGTATATACACAAGATAAAAACGTATTTGCGTACACACACATAAGAAAACTGAGATGTAGGAAAAATCAGAGATAAATGAATACTCAAAATATACGCCATGGCCAAAAAGTGGCAAGGAGAGAAAAATGTGACCTTTAGAAGAAGCATGGCTCTTTATAGTACTTAAAGCCAAAAGAGCCCCTCCCCTAGTCCTTAAGCAGGTGCCACAGAAACATCCCGGGACGCCTGCAGCAGGCCTCAAAGCGCTGCCCGGGAAGAGGCCTTCTGTGTGGTGATCAGGCCAGTGTGGGAGGAGTGGCAGGCTGGCTGTGCATCTTGAACCCATTCCTCTGGTGGTTCTGATCAGTGCTCCTCCAGCCCACAGCCCCCGGGCACCCGTGGGAAGGGCTGGAGAGGGGGCTGTGCTGAGGCCCTGCCCCGGGGAAGTGGCTTCCCCCGGCAGCATCCTCAGAGTCTAAGTGACAGGCTCTGACTAGAGCCTGAGGGGTCAGTGTTGCTGCGAGGGACTAGAGCGAGGCACACTTAGCCCCGTGCTAAGAGATGGAATCCATGCCTGGCCAGCGGGCTGTCCACCTCCAGTGCACATCTATAGGGTGGGATCGATAGGTAAACAAGGCTGAGGCACTGGTCACCAGGAAGGCTTCTGAGAAAGGGCCTCTCTTGCTTGTGTTTACAGTCATCCCACAGCCCAAATGAGCTTTGCTTCAGGTGGGTAGGGGTGAGGAATTGTATGAAGAAGGGGGGTGGGAACTGGTGACCCTGCATCCTTCCTCCCCAGGCCAAGCACAGAGCCAAGTCCCTAGGTGTTTGTGGAAAGACAGAGGATCTGTGTGGGGCAGCTGAGGGATGCACAGGGACATGAGCCAGGGTGGTAGTTTCTCTGAGTCATCTTCCTTAGCGCAGCTCCCTGCAGTGATCGACATCAAGCTGGACAAACCCCAGGAACCCCCAGCCAGTGAGGGCGGCTGCTCCTGCTAATGCAGCCTGACCTGCCAGCTTCCTTTGACACTACTCGCTTGTTGTGTTGCTTCCTATTGGTTAGCTTCCTAAGGGGGGTGGGAAATGAGCTTATCAAGATGGGAGGATTTTTCTTTTCTCTCTGTCTCTAGGAGTAGGGTGGGGTGGGGAGGGAGGCTGGGCATCAGGGATCACGTCACTCTTAACAGCTGTTAAACAACTATTTTTTGGTTTGGTTGTAATATATTGTACTTTATTAAGATTGCCAAAAACTGTTAAAATTTAAAAAAAATTTAAAATCATGTGTATACAACTTTTTGCCAGATAAAAATGTAGTCATTTTTATTTAAAAGATGTGCTTTTTGTTTTTGTATATTTGTAAACTTACAGAGAACCTTTTCCACACACCTCCTCCTTCCTGTCCTCTTTGAACCGTTAATCACCTCTGCCCTCCTCCCATCCCAGCCCAATAAATTCCAACAATTAACTGGGCAACTTAATTAGGCTCCAATCCCAGACCCTACCAAACAGGCCCTACCTGGTTAAATCAAACACTGAACAAAACAGCCTCTGAAGAGGCAACTTTTAACTCTGTCCTCCTTCCGTGGCCAGAATGAGACATTAGCCATGGTCCCGAGGTGAAATTAAGACCCTGTGGACAGCAGGGAGCCCGGCGGCAGGCCTCACTGGAATTACTCCTGCCTCTCCTCTCCCCTCTCTGAAAAGCCCTGAAGGGGGTGGAAGGCACTTGCCACAGGCAACTTGTGTTCTCTGTGGTCCACTCAGTTATTGGCAGATCAAGAGGTCATCGGAAGGATGAGGTGCTGTCGGCAACCGTGGGCTTGTGTCCATGTGTGGTTTATAGCCTTGGGGCACCGTGTGTGGTTCTGAAATGTTCTAACCAACCTTCCCATCATTCAGCCCACAAGTGTGGGTTGACTCTAAGGGAAAGGCAAAGAGAAACTCAGTGTGTGCCACCCTGAAGCCTTCCTCTTTGGACGTCTGGGAAGCTAGAGCCTGTATCACACGGTATTTGTCTGTGATTGAGGAAGGGAGGGTGGACTGCGGTACCGCCACCTTGAAGATGCATGTGCAGATCCTCGGTTGCTGATACTATTGAGTGCCGTTCTGGAAAAGCTGACCTGATACATTTCTGCCCCACTGGCATAATGCAGGTGTAATCTTTGTGCACTTACCTTTGTGGCTATCGTAGCAGCACTCTGGTTGCCTGAGGGTACTGCTGAGGCGGGGTCTCTAGAAGGCTGCCCAGAGCGCCGTCCTTGCCATTTTGACTCTTTTCTGAGAAGGGCTTAATCCTGAGAACCTGTAAAATCTCTGAAGAGAATTCTAAGTAATGTAACCCCATTTGGCCAGCATTCCAAATAGACCCACACTTACTGAACCTGCACCTGCACAGAGCCAGGCAGTAGGCAGAAACTCTGTCCCCACTTGGTAAACCCTACCCTTGAGGCTGGCATGGACTCTGCCTCCACTGCTGTGCGCATGTCCTAGGTGAGCTAAAGGACCATCTGGAAGCGGTAGGAGGTGCACCTCCACAAAGGAGAACTCTAAAGTTGTTGCATTAGAACTTCTCAGAAACTAATCCAAAATGGCAGCCGAATTAAGTGGAGTAGAGCCTGGCAGGACTCACTGATATTTGTCTTGTGGGCCTGCCACACACTTTCAGTTTAAGGAGACTGTATGTCAAAGCTGATCTTTAGAGAGGAATTGATCTTCAGGTGAAGAAAAGAGGAAGCAGGATTCACATTGAGCTCTTCTAGTAGGCAAAGACCGATGTATGAACGTAATTCCGATGTCATGTGTTTAGTTTTTATATGTGTGTACATAATTATATATAGAGATAGACTTGTGTATACACCTTCCACACATTCTCACAGAGATACATGTGCTCAATGTATATTCTTGTTTTTCCTGCTCTCAAGTTGGAACTTGCATTGTGATAACAGTTTTGGAAATTCAGAAGTACTGCAACGTGTTGAAATAAGAAATACTTAATATTGTCAAAAAACTTGTGATTGTCTTGCCATCAATAAACTAATGCATAGATGTGTTAAACTACAGGCAAAAACAGCCATGGGAATATGTGCACCGTATCTCTCTATACTTATATGCACAGGTGTGCACGCCCATGTGGGCCAGTACCCCCCCACCGTGGCACACCCCCAAGTGGTGCTTGTTGGAACAACAGAGTGCTTACTTACCTCGTGAGAATTTCTAGGAGTCCACATTACAGCACCTGGCCTGGTTGGCAGTGAGGGCCATTGTTTGTGGCCTCTGGGACAGCCCCATTTGCTGGGATCTGCATTGGGTCCCAGTGAATGGATGTATGGTGGATTATAATTTTCTTGGTACTAAAGAGTAGCTTTTCTTAAATATTACTGTAAAAACAGAGTAGAAACTCAGTTACCTTCTCAAGTGCACAGTTTAAGGCACCACGAACATTTTTTCTTTCCATCACAGCCTAGGAGCAGTAAGAGATGCAGATGTCATTTGGCTCGATGTGGCCTCAATGAGCCGTGCCTTCCTCACACATACACAGGGTCCTCTCTCGAGTCCAGACTCTCCCTAGCCCTGCGGCTTCTGAGGCAGGGGCAGTTGTCTCCTCTCGTCCTCCCATCTTAGTGGTGCCATGCCATCCCATGACGCTCCCTCCCTCAGGCCTGGTTTCCACACCTCACTCTCTGGTCTCTTGGGGCAGCCAGATCTCTCACACAGACGTGGGTTGGTTCCTTGGCTCTAGTTTTGAGCAGGTGCCATCAACGTTCTCTTGCCTGTAGATGGTATCTTGACTTGGAGTTAAGGTTCAATCATCAAATGGCCAGATTCCCTTGAAGAAGAGGTGATGAAACTGCCTCTGCATCCCTAGTGAGTGTTACATCCTAAATCCAGATGGGCCAGCACGAGGCAAAGCCGTCGTTCAGTCCTTCTCCCTGAGGACTAGCCCTCACCTGGGAGACGGCCAGGGTCATTGTGTTCAGGCCCCCTTTTTCTCTTTTAATTTGGGGGTCTCAAAGAAAAGCTGGCAGTAAAGCTCCTATTCCACAGACATCTGAAAAGAGCATGAGATGCAGGAAGCAGAAGGCATATTTATAGATGTACACACACGCCAGAATGAAGGTGTGACATCAGCAGCTTGAGTGTGTAGTCCAAGGTTAGCAAGCTGGGTGATTGTGAGCAAGTCTCTTTGGGTCAAGAGGCCTCTCTGCCATCACTGTCCCCACTCTCTTCCCGTAGGCACCCTCAAACATCCTGAAACACTCCTGGGTCTGAGGAGCAGTGGCCAGATCAGTTCAAGTGTCTCAGGCAACAGAAACCAGGATTCAAATGTCAGCAGCTAAGTGTACAGACATATCTTGAGTGCAACAGCTCTGTCCTCCTGATGGCAAGGCGGTGCTGGGCGTCCCTGCCCTCAAGTACCAGGTGTGACAATGGCACCGCTGGCTTCGGTGTCCTGCAGGTAGAGCAGCCTCATTCCTTCACACGGCAGAAGGCAGGTGAGGATGTCAGGAAGTGAGAACAGGTAGCCAAGGACGGAGTCCGCTCTGAGCCACGTGAGGGGTGACCTAACAGAAGTATGTCTTTGTGCAGCGACCAAGCAGGGCCGTGTGCTCTCTAGTCTCCAGACTACCTCTCCCCAGGCGTGGGAGGCGTCGCCACCCAGCAACAGCAGCATGAGGCAGCGGTCTCACAGGCACCCTTCCTGCCTCACAGGCAGGGAGACAGAGGTGAGAGGGCGACTTGCTCGTGATCACCCAGCAAGTCAGAAGCAGTCAGGGCCAAGGTGTCTCCATTCTTCATCGCCAACTTGTGTGTACAAACGTGTGCACTTGCACGGGAAGGGCTGCTGTGCATGGGGGCTCCTCAGACCAGCTCTTCTCCGGTTAGCGTGTAAGGTTCTGTCCAGCGTATCCGAGCAAGCTGGGAAAGAATGCACATACATTTCACGCTCCTCCATTGCCAACAAGGCCCGGTCTCCAAGTACGTTCTGATCGTCATGGGCGCCTGCAGACCAGGGCACCCTTTGAATTTTTGTTTGAGATGAACTATTTAGGTGTTCCAAAACGTTGGGCTCTCATGTGTAAACTCTGCTCTAGAGCCCTACGTGGCTGACGCTCCCCGCAGGGCATGGTTTCTCCTCACAGTGGGGTTTGGGAGCTTCCTTCCAGTGGGAAGGCTCCATACACGGAAGGCTAGCCAGCATCGCATGGTGTGTCGACTTGTCCCCTCACTTTCCCTCCCCCATCTCCTTAAAAGTGGTTGGCCACGAGGAGCACAGAGGGTGGCGTTTCCATCTTTTACTGGCTCAGCAGGCGTAAGTGGCCACATTGACTTTACATAAAACTGTGTAAAATGTGGAAGATTCAGCATGTTGATCAAACAATAAACTGTCCTGATTCTCAACACAAAACCTCCTGTCTGATGTTTCTAAGTGGTGCAGTCATATATGGGGTGTGGGGTGCAAAAACAGATTTCTTCAAGTGCCTGCTCCACAAAGACCCTCTTCTCCTCTCTGGGCACTGGGCCCACCACCCAAAGCCCACTGCTTCTTCCTCCTCTTGACCTGGGTCCTCCACATACTTGGAAGGGGGAAAAGCAAGGCACACCGATGAGGTTAAAGCCACACTCATTTCCATGATCTCCACTCTCCCTAAAGACTGATGGAAGGGAAAGCCCCAGGCAGCACTGAGACTCAGGGGTGTGTCACCCCTGGTCTCCACTTACCATGGCTGGGGGTTTGAAGGGTGGGTACAGGGACTGAATCTCTCTTCCTTCTGATCATTTCCAGAAAGCCATTTAAAGAATTTAAGGTGGGGCGCCTGGGTGGCTCAGTTGGTTGAGTGGCTGACTTCGGCCCAGGACATGATCTCAACGGTCTGTGAGTTGGAGCCCTGCTTTTGGCTCTGTGCTGACACCTCGGAGCCTGGAGCCTGCTTCGGATTCTGTGTCTCCCTCTCTATCTGCTCCTCCCCTGCTCATGCTCTGTCTCTCTCTCAAAAATAAACATTAAAAAATTAAAAAAAAAAAAAAGAATTTAAGGTGAACCATAATCATTCTTGAGGTGACACCAAGCAGCCACAAACAACCTCCCACTCCTCCTGCACTAAGTAGAGAATATCCTTGAGAGGCCCCTTCAGGGCTCAGTCATCTCTAGACTAAAAGATGCCTTGAAGGCCATGACAGTTGTGGGACCAATCCAAAGAGGACACAAAGGCCAAGATCAGGCATAGAACTGCCCCAGTCCGAGAATGCTGGGATTCTTAGAGTACCAGGTCTCATTCTTGTTCGAGTTCAATTTCACTACATATCTTTTCCCTTCAAAAGTTCTAAAGTTTCTGGAATATCCTCTAATCTGCCACCTCAAGGAAGGTACCTCTAAATTAGGAGGGACAGGAAATAGATGTCTCTGCCCACTAAGCCTAACTTTCCTGGCTGCCAGATATAAAATGTGAGGTAGAGGAGGTACAGGGGATGTCAAGGGGCAGAGGCCTGACGACAGCCAAAGTGCACACACCAGATGAAAGCCAGAGTCCAGCTGTTCTAAGACCAGAAGCCATTTCCCAGGATTATAGTGCTCAGGGTGACAGGACTTGAGACAGCAAGGGGAAGGAATAATCTCCCTGAGGAGGACACAGCATTTACCCACACGGCCGTCCGGCACCCCTCCCCTTGCCAGGTGAAGAGAGCACAGCTGGGGCTCCCCAGACACCAATGGGAAGATTACAGAGCGCTGGTGAACGACCTGTCTAAAGTGCCCCACATGGCACTGAGTGATGCTGCGCAAGGTGGCCTTCCTTATCACTGTAGCTGTATTGGTGTCCAGTGAGCAAGAGTGGAGAAAGGAGCTTTGGTAATCCTTTGCTAATCTCAAATGAAAAACTACCAAAGTAAGTATACTGATACACACAAATATACCAAAAATACCACAAACAAAAACACGTATTTCAGTTCAAACATAATCTTAAGTCAACAGAACGTCAGCACCTCGCACATTAACAGGACCACAGGGGGACATTGGGATCCCAGGAGGTGCCGAGACAGAGACCGTGGGAAAAGAGAAGTGGCAAACCCAGGCACTCCCCACTAACAACAGCTGTTGTTGGCTAGGACCCCAGCAAACTGGCAGGTGCCTGGCAGTGGAGGGGCCCCCTTGGAAAAGGGCTTGAAAAAAGAGCTGGGATCAAGAACAGGATGGCCAGCCCCCAGAGCCCCCAGAGCCCCCAGTCCGTAGTGTGCCCCACACCTTGTGGAAGACTGCATGCCAGGAGCAATGGCGGGCCCAGGGCATATTCATCGCAGCCACCCCCCTACAATGGCATCTCCCGCGGCCTGCACCTCTCCCTCATCAAGGAACAGGATCATTCATATCAGGTGGCAGCCAGCCTGGGGGCAGGTCTCAGTGCCCATACACACCCAGTGGCTCAGACACTGCTATGTTCCCAAGAAGGAGCTCTTTCAAGCCATGACTGTCTCATCTGTGACATACAGTTGTGCCTTGTCTGCCAGCCCCCGTGATTGACATCTCTTTCCACTCTGGCCACACTTGCCTCCCACCTCATGAAGAAATGGCTGCAGGGCCACAAGAGGATACCAACAGAGGAGAGAACACATGTGACCTATCAAAACTCCTACCCAGCACCCGAGGGAAGTCCCCTCGTGATCTCATCCTGGCCCAAAATGCACAAGAGTGGAATGACTGTAGCGCAGGAGTAGGAAGCAGGATGAGTGCTTATTTCATCCTGTTAGAAGAACTAAACAGGGCTCATGGCCCAAAGACTTAAAAACAAAACCTACTGAAGGGTGCATGTGATACTCCAGGGCAGAGGACTTCTGAGGGTGTTCCTAGGAGCCCACGTACCTGGTAAAGCATATACTAAGTACGCGGATTCCTGACACCACACCAGATCTGCCGCTGAATTGAAAGTTTAGGACCAGGATCCTCAGAAGGGCTAACAAGCAGCACGGACAGTTCAGATGCACACCAGCATCTGAGAATCAGTGTTTGAGGTACGACATTACTTCTTCGGAAGATCATCTTTCAGCCTTGAAGACAACTCAACCTTGCTCCCCTTGTCACTTTTTTGGTATATTGCCTCCTCCAATAAAGTATAACAATTTATTAACCAGAAAAAAACAAAAAAGCAAAACTGAGAGATTACATGCCTCTTAACAGAAGCATCAGGCCATTGATTTTTATTCACACAAGCACCTGTGATCATGTGAACATGTCACATTTATCACAACCCTTTTTGATTTCTGCTTCGTTACTCTTACCTACTTCCTTAAATCACTGGTAGCTAATAAGGACAAAAACCAAGAATCCAAAGGACAGAAAGAACACTAGCAGCACTGAGGCTTTAGGATAATAACTCTACCAGGGTCAAGGTCCAAGGTCTTCCCCGTGTCAGCCTGCACTTATTCCATATGCGAGCAGCGAGGTGTAGGAAACAGGGTTGAGGGCAGAGGGGAGCTGTAGTCTCACGCGGAGCTAGAATCACTCAAAGGAAGACGTGACGGCAGCCAGAGGCTTGGGCTGTAGCACATGCGGGGACCTCCCGCACTCGGATGTTATTGGCTCCGTGTTTATACAGACTCCCCCTGACCCCTCAGAGCCAGGGTGGGTGCCCGTGCTGCGTGCTTTCCGAGCACCCACACCCCCATCATGCTCTGACCACACTCTTCTGGGATTACCTTCTCACTTAGCCACAGCCACCCTGATCTCATCTGAAGCTTTGGCCGAGCTTGTCCCTGAGTGTGTGAAGTAGGGACAGCTGTTTGTTCCTGTGTACGCTGCAATCTGCAGGCCTTGGAGATGTGGAACCAGGCCTGCACCCTTCCTAACACATGCTCCCATTTGTACTCACCATACTGTTCCATTTCATTGCTTTGAGCCAGACAGGTTATTTTATTTGCCAAGAAACGCATTAATAATTTATAAAAGCCATTTAAAAAGCCAACATTCAAGAAGACAACAAAGAGCATCACTTTGAGGCTGACTTTTCTTTTTTAAAGTGTATATTCACTGCTGGTTAAAACTATGGAGAACTTTTATCATTCCTATGTGTTCCACTGCATTCTAGCTAGGAGTACAAAACAGGGGCCAAACAGCACACGAACACATCCAGGAGCCCTTGGCCATCCAGAAAACCACAACAGTTTCTAAATCTCCACAGACTCCTCAATTAAGGGAAACCACCAGAACACACGAGGCCCTTGGCATTGGGGATTTAGCATTTACAGTTCTGTCATCTGGGAATAACTCCAAGGGTTCAGGGCATGTTTTTGAAACCTAAGTGTTATGAGGCTGGAGTGTGGACAAGTCACCAAGCTGATGAAAAACAGACCTGCTGTCAACACAGCCTTGCTGTTTTCTACCTGTCTTCACATGTCAGGAGACCACCTTGTAACTACACCCACACATCTGAGAATTCACAAAGGACCAGATGATGTATTGACCGTGAACCAGCCAAGGACAAATGGAAATCAACTAGTTCCATACACAGACAGGGTTTGTTTTCAGCAAAAGGGACTAAAGCACTGAGGCAGAGGATAAGAAATTTTCAGATGATAATCATATTCTCATAATACCCTCCTAACCTTACGTCAAGCTTATGTTAAAGGGACAACACCTTAACAAAGGGAAGCACACAAATAAAAGAAAGCAATGAGGGAGAACTAAACTTAAAAACAAAAATTCCGAGTTACTTTCGACAGTAATTTGTTTCCAGAACAAGAAAATGTTTCTTATTACATTCTGTACCCCTTCTTTATCAACTCAAGGCTACCACACCCTTTTCCACACACATACAAGTTCAACTGTCCTGCACTTTAGCTCTGCCCCTCAGGCGATTTTAGCCAGCCATTTCTCCAGGTCCCGGATGTCAGCAGAGCCAGCGTCCCCTCTTCCGCCCTTGGCACTGCACTCCAGGAACTCCACTTTGAGGGGCAACTGTGAGAACTCAAATTCTTTGCCTTTCTTTCCCAGCTGAACAGGGGCAGTGCTGGAACTGTCCAGTGTGCTGGGGGCAGCAGAACGGGTGACTCGTAAAGTGTTGCTGTGACACAAAAGAAAAATGAGTCAGGAAGGAGAGAGTAACTTTTACACAGTGATTAAAGGCCTTTAGAAAACCACATTCATTCCTAAATATTTCAGTATTCATTTAAATACTTAATCATAAACCTGTCAATTACACTATTAAGACTGTTGAATAACCCTTTGCATTCATATACCGTTCTCAGCTAGGAGAGATGTGGGTCCGGCCTGACTTCGCTTGATAAAGAGTAGGTCAGTAACATCCCCAGGTCATACCAGTGCCCCCTTTATATATCTGCAGAAAATCAAGAGTCGGACACTCAAGTGACTGTGCCACCCAGGTGCCCTGAACACATTTTTTAAATACACGTTGTAAA